CCACTACATCAAGATCAACATCAATAGCAAAAACTATCCTATCATCAGAACATGTATGCCAAGAAGAAGAAAAAATGAAGGTCGCCCCTTACTTTGATTAGTGCAAGAACATCAAGAAGCCCCCTTAAATCAATGGATCAACAAAGAAGCTCGTCCCTAGATCATTAGGATTTTATCATTTCTAGATTGTAATTTCTTTGTATCTAAGGGTTATTTGTTGTAATCTTTGTACTTTTTGATCAGTAGTTCTAATAAAACAAACATGCGTGTTTTTGAAGTCAATCCATTCACTATTTTTTATGCCATCACTTTCTATACAAAAAAACATCAATCAAACTCTTTTTCCATTTTGTTTTTCACCATTAACAAACTTGAGGGAGAATGATGTAAATAACAAAATAACTGAATTATGTTGTTGTATGCTTTCAATAGTAAAACTAGGTTGACAATGTAAGGTATTTTTCACTTCCCAAACACTGGAGAAATAAGGAGATAACCCGTAGTTAACCCCCTCGAGCCAGAAGTTGGAGTTCTTTCTATTTTTTTTACAAACCCTTAATTTTAACCAGGGGCATGGTAGATTTAAACTAATTTAATGATGCATTCAAATTTCAAGAGAACAAGTCTATCTAAGCAAGAGGTTCAAGCACATCCTATTCTTCGCGCTCATCATCCAACATCGAGGAAGCAATGGAGATAAATCTCACCATATCTTCTTCCTCACGTACACCATTCAAGTTCAGGGAAGAAATGAAAATAAAAGTTCACAATAACTCACATGATAGTCACGACCTCCCTGAATAAAAAAATCTCAAAAGCAAAAGTTTCAAAAAAGAAAGAAAAGAGAGAGCCTACTAAGTCAAAAAGAAAAATTCAAAAAACTGAAAAATTGACTTAGGAAAAAGTTAGGGCATCTGGATGGACTGAAAAATTCAAAAGAATCAGCCCATGCAAAAATAAGGGATTAAAAGCAAAGAAAAATGGAAAATGAGCTTGTGACTTCCACCTCAGAATTATCAGTGGTTCTTAACAAGTGCTTGAACCTAATCAGTACTTCTCATCAATGCTTGAATTTCAAAATTCTCTTGCCGACTAAGTGCATGTATTAAATTAATTGAACTTAGGAGTGGAGAACATCAAGGAGAATAGGGTGGGTAAAAAAATCAATTTTTGAGCCTTATAATCTTTTGTTTCTTAAACTGTGAACCATGCCATATTACAACCTTCAAAAATCCTAATCGAATTTAGGTTCACTATGAAAGCATACTCAATAAAATTTGTGTTGAACTGAATCGTAATGTTTATTAAATCATCACCAACCACTTTTTTTTATCACTTATTTCATGTTTCTTGCCAACATCATACTCATCTACCATATCTGTTTTCCATAACAATTTTTTATTTCAAAAACTTGCATGTACATCGCGTCAGAATTACTTTTCAAAAAGTACAATTTTATGTGTGAATCACTACTTATCTCAAGAATGGTCTAATAAAAGGCGATCCATTTCAAGACTCTCCTAACTAGGGGCAAAACACTCAAGGGGTCATTCTAATCAGGGGAAAATCCTAATGACGATAGGGGCACATCATTTGAAGATCCTATGGACTAGGGGAAAATAATTTCAAGACTCGATCAACTTGGGTCACATCTCAAAGCACCAGTTAAGCAGGGGCATACCTTTTAAAGATCCAAATTCTAAGGCATTCCATATCAAGGTCATATTACGACATAGTGGTATCAAAAGTTCTTTCTCATGACAACTCTCCAAGACCCTAATAATCAGGGGCAGACCTTTCAAGACTTAAATGCTATGGAAATACATATAAAGTTCATATCATAACTTGGTGAGATGCAAGTTCCTTCTTAGGACACTCTTTCAAACCCTAAAGATCATATCATATACCTTTCAAGATTCAAATCTTGGGGCGGACTTCTGCGAGACTCAAAAACCAATTCAAAATGGTCCATAAGAGGCGAACCATTTCAAGATCCAATTAATCAAGGACTAATCTCTCTGATCTCATCCTAGGGTAGGTCGTCTCAAGAACACAATACACCAATCATTCCAAGAGCCAGTCAATCACGAGTGTTGCACCCCAAGTTTTCCCTTTTCATCTTACGTTTGTGGATTATGTTTCGTCATACACATTCACACATTTTAAGGACAAGATCAAGGTATCTTTTGTTTTCAAGATCTTCTAGAAATTATGAAGTTGGTTGTTTCATCAATTATTGAGGAGATGAGTCTCAAACCTTCAATTTTTGGGTCACTCAAGCTACATGAGGTTCCCATACTTCAGGATATCTCGAATTTCTCTTTAATTCATCAGGAGTTTGAATAGGGCACTTCAATCATCAACTGAGAAGATATTTTATCTGGTTCTAAGATCAAGTGAATATTTGATTGCTTGAAGCATAAGTCGCTTATGGTTAGAAAATTGAAGAAAGGTTCATCTGTAAATTGAGGATTGGGATGCATTTCTACTTCTTTTGGTATCATCAGATGACTCAGGTTTTGATCCAGTAATTATCATCAGTTAAAGCGCACTAACTTTAAGGTTTCATTTGGTTCTTATGATATTTTGAAGGTTGATTCATCATTTTGGGTTTGAGTAATTTGTCTATCGGAAGAAAAACTTTTTTTGAAATGTTTGGTTAAGTTACATTCATGGCCATTTCCTTGAGATTTATGTCATACTTTCATCATAAACTTCAAAGGAAAACAAAGTGAGATGGATGAGGCTAATTAGAATTGGCTATCATTGGAATTCAAGTTCTACTCATTCATTTTGGTACCAGTTTCTACAAGTCTAACTTTATACAAATTTCATCCATTGCTCACCAAAGTTTCAATTGCATAATAAAAGGAAGTTTGTTAAAGTTCAAGTTCCAAGTATTCAAGACTTACAAGTTCAATTTCAAATTTGAATCCATACAAGTTTACAAATGTTGAAAACACAATTTCACTTCAATGCAAAACCAAAAGTTGAAGCCAATACCGGATGCCACCATATTTTCTTTCATTCAAAGCCAATATTGAATGTCAGGATCTTTTGGTTTCCATCCAAAGCCAATATTGGATGTTGTTCCATTTTCCTTCATCCAAAGCCAATATTGGATGTTGTGATCTTTGTTGTTGTCCAAAGCCAATATTGGATGCCATGATCTTTTGTTTCCATCCAAAGCCAATATTGGATGTTGTTATCTTTTGCTGTCCAAAGCCAACATTGGATGCCATGATCTTTTGCTACCATCCAAAGCCAATATTGGATGTTGCTATCTTTTCTTCCATCCAAAGCCAATATTGGATTTCGTGTTTCTTTTTCGTCCAACTTCTTTCCTAGATGACTCTGACGTAACTTCAAATTTAGTCTCATCCCACATCTAAGGTTCTTCTAGATGCTTCTGATTGTTTTTCAGAGAGTTGTTCGCCTCATTCAATGTCATTCTTGGAGGTCGCTGCTTGCCTTCTCGGATTTTATCTATTTTTTCCCAAGTATTGATGGTTACTCTTTGTCACCCTGACAGATATCCAGAAGTATCTTGTTGTTTCCTTAGCGTGTATTTCCACGTCATTTCATCTGAACTACCATAAATTTCCAGTTTTGAGTCTTTCCATATTCCCACAAAGTCTGTATCATCTCATACATCATTCAATAAAAAATATATGTCAAAAAAAGAGTCCATGCATTCATTCATAATATATGCTATCATCTCGTCGCATCGAAGACGAAATTCGGGTCTGTTTGCATTAAATACTTTATGCCTATAGGGCTAAAAATAATTAAATAGGGGAAGTTGTTGTATCCTAAATTTCGCCCCTAATTTTTTCAGTCGCACTTTCATATCATATTTTGTCACTTTGTCACAATCATTAATGGATAGCTTCATTCATCACATTTGCATTATTTAATCGTTGTAAGTTGACCAAAATTCAATTTAAGTCGACATTTGCATCATTCTTTAGTTGAAAAATACTTGACATTTCACTGCATGCATTTTTATCTCTTTACTCATTTCTTGCGTTGCTCCAAGTTGTGTATATGTCGATAATATTAATATTTCGGTTTTATAGATGGAGTGTTAAAAGCGATTCGACGTTGTGCAGAAAATTAGCGAGAAAAATATTTCAAGTTTTCACCTTTTACAGATCATTTTATGAATATGCGTTTCGCGTAGATTTTAACAGTATGCTCGCTTTATTTTTTCGGTACAATTTGAAGTCTAGTTTTTAATCGTAAACGTCTATTTAGCCTAATATTTTTATTCTCATTTTATTTCGATTTTGAATTTTTGAATATTTTTTCTTTAATCTTTGTGACATGTAGTTTATAATAATATGTTCATTTTATTTTTATGGATAAATTTTTGTCAGTTTTTTTTATCGTTTTTAGTCTTTATTTTTTATTTAGAAAAAATTCAAAAAAATTATTTTAAATTGAATTAATTTTAACACTTTCAGTTTTTTTGGTTATTTTTATCATTTAAGGGTTTTTTAGTCACAAAATAATATTTATTACACTATGCTTGATTCCTATTGGTTGTTAACAGAAGTTACAGATCAGTAAATTGCCAAAACGGAATTGAAATTTTGAACATATGTGATTGAATTTCAGATCATATTTTTCCTTTTCATTTCCTATATAAATCCCTTTATTTTCTTTGTAATTGACAACACACAAAACAAGAAAAAATTGCAGTAATCATCAAACTCCTCTCTCTCTCTCTCTCCACGTCTACTCTCTCTAATTATCTATTCTTCTTTTTCACTCACAATAAACAAAAAAAAACTCTCTTCAATTTCTTCATCACATAACCCATTCCTCTCTCAACAACAGTAGATACCCTTTCCATTTTCCAACAATCCATCCAACCTTCTTCATCTCCTTCACCGAACCACTAAACCACCTTCACCGTAATCCACCAACCACCATCACAAACCCTTACCCAAGCAGTCCGCTCCATCTCCTCGTCAAACCTCCGAGCCCAATCCGCAATGCTCTCCTGTTTTCCACCATCAACCCAGCAGTTCAACCCAGAACATCCATCCTTCACCTCTGTCAACCTTCAATTCCTTGCAAAACCTCATCTCAAATTCCTCCAGCCACCTCCATCTTTGCAATCTGCAACAACTCAATCAATCCTCTGTCAAATTGCGACAACCCCTTCATCTTCGCTGTAACCCACTTTCTCACAACAACAACAACTCCAACCCTCCGTCGATACTTCTGCCGTTTAACAACAACAACAATATCTGAAGCAGCTTCCATAAATTCCCTCCGTCGGCATCATATCACATCTGCTTTTGGTTTCGACATTTTTGGGTAACTCTTTCCCTTTTCTTAACTGTTATGCTGTATGAATTATTGATATAATTCTGGAAAATTGATATTGAATTGCTTTGGTATTTTGTTTTGATTTGAATTAAGTAATTGTTATGGTGTTGAGGTAATAGTTGTTGTTATGTGGTGAAAACTCAAATGTTGTGATGAATTTCTGATAAAAACAGTTTGCTATAGTATGTGTGTTTGATATTTTGAATTGTTATGTTGTGAAATCATGTGATATTTGGTTGTATCAAATGCTGGAAAATATGTTTAAGTTGGTCAATTCTGGTTTGTTCTTGTTAAAACGTGATGAAGAATTTGCTGCTGTTATGCTTTCCGAATTTATTGTTGCTGAAACTTGCACTCAACTTGTTTTTTAATCACTTTTTGAACTTAATATGAAAATGACGTGAGTTGATTAAATTTTCGGTGTTGATGTTGTCTTTTTGTTTGAGTTATTTTAAAGAGTGGTTTTGATTATGTTTCAAGTTGAATTCAATTCACAAAGTTGTTTGGTTAATATTAGTGTTTATACATAAGTTTTGAATTACTTAGAAATTGATTTTCATGAGCTTTTTATGCATAATTTGTTGTTGTCCAACTTTTGATAATGCTTGACTTAAGCTTGATTTTTCATGGATTTCATAATCTCACGAGTTCTTGATTTTGATTTGTGTAAATATTTATTTGTTCATATGCGTCATACAAGTTCATTTTTTGTGATTACTAACACATGTTTTAATCGTTGCAATTTCCTTCATTTTATTTTTATGCCGCCTATGCTACTAACGTGTTTGTTACTGTGAAGGTTTCTGAAAATCGTTTCAAGTATCCATTCTCACATAGCGCATCCATAATTCCTACACTTCTCCCTTTACCTCTTTATTGAATTTCATTATTTTAATTTAATATTTGGTACTGTAAATATATACTTGTACATAATATTTTGATTGTATATTCTATTCACTTCATTTGTAAATAAATCCAGTTTATGTAAATATTATTTTCATTGCTTTACGATTTTAAATTTTAATTCAAATTAACTTTTGAAAATCGCACAGACGCATACAATTTTTCCCGTGCTGTTAGTTTTGTCTATATATTTCATGTGATGCAGGGAATCTTATCCTTTACCATAAGCTTTACCCACGCTTTCTTCATCCGTGATTTATTTTCACGCGTTGTGATTCATTGCGCTTTATTCGCTGCTTGGAGTATTATCTTACATCTGGTTTTTTGATGCTATCGACTTGTGATTTATTTTCACCTGAGGTTTGGTATACTCTTAGCTTATTTTTACCTGTTCGTGGCTTTAAACCCCAAAGGGATGGGAATACATTATTGACTTCATCACGTCAAGTACTGGTTTCTTATTCGGTCGAATTCTCTTTACTGTATCTTTTTCCCTCCTGTGCATAGGACATTCTTTTCTCCAATCTTTTTTAATTTTCAAAACCTTCTCATCTTTATCAAAATCTTCTTTGTTTATAAACTCGAACTACTCTCATAATAAACCTCGACTTTGTCGAGTGTCTTTTCTTTTAAACTTCTTTTGTTTAAACAAACTTCAATTCATTTAATCATACTTTGACATTTCTCAAAAAATTAACAAAAACACTTTAACTCATTCAAATTCTTTGTACACTCGAGCACTTTTACCCTTCAAAACTTTTTCCAAGATGAGACATGATTCATTGATAGTCGAGCAACATTCTCCTATCCCCATGGTTATAAAGGTGTCGACTTTTCCACTTGAGTACTAGAGGCGTTCTCAAACCCTCACTCTTGCTGACGCAGGGTCCATCTTTCTCACACCTTGTGGGCATTAGTCGAGGTTTCTCTCCTAACAATGATGACTTGTCTCTTCGTTTAAAGTAAACCAATAGACAAATCTTTTCTAGCCGAACTACGGTGCTACTTGTTTGGTATTTACCATGCACCCTTAGGATTGCTCGTGTAGGGTTAGTCCTCGAGCTAGACATTAGGATATTTACCCATGTATGCTAACATAGGTTAGAAACTTTTCTTAGGGTCAATCATTGTATGATAACATTAGGATAGTGCTAGGCTAGTTTCCCTTAGTTATTTTTCCTTTCTTTTCATATTGAATCTTAAAACTAAAACCTCTTCTTGGAAAATCATAAAACGTCTCTAATGAACTTAAATCCTTCTTCAAGGTAAAAAATACAAACCAATCTTAATTGTTTGTGTGCCTTTTGGCTTTGTTTTATACCTTGTCAAGTTGACGTTTTTCCATTCTTGTCATGATATTATGTTATCTTTTCGCCGATGTTTCGCCATCGCATATGTTTTTTATCCTACTTTGATCCTCGATATCATTGTTAGGTGTGATGTTTTGTCATCTATATTATTAATGTTTAGCCATCACACTTGTTTGTTATCCTACTTTGATTCTCAATATCATTGTTAAGTGTGATGTTTTGTCATCTGGATTATTGATCTTTCACCATCTTTGCCATGATTTTGTTGTATCTTTTAGCCGATGTTTCACCATCACATATGTTTAAGCCGATGTTTCACCATCGCACATGTTTGTTATCCTACTTTGATTCTCAATATCATTATTAGGTGTGATGTTTTATCATCTGAGTTATTGATGTTTCACCATCTTTGCCATGTTATTTTGTTAACTTTTAGCCGATGTTTTGCCATCGCATATGTTTTTCGCCGATGTTTCGCCATCGCGCATGTTTGTTATCCTACCTTAATTCTCAATATCATTGTTAGGTGTGATGTTTTATCATATGAAATTGTTGATGTTTTTCTATCTTTGCCATGTTACCTTGCTATCTTTTAGCCGATGTTTCGCCATCGCATATGTTTGTTGCCGATGTTTCGCCATCGCGTATGTTTGTCATCCTACTTTGATTTTCGATATTATTGTTAGGTGTAATGTTTTGTCGTCTTGTCTGACATTTTGTTATCATGCTGATGTTTTATCATCTTATCTGAGTTTGTTACAATGTGATGTCTTATCATTCTTTTTTGTTGCTTTATCATCATTGTTGATGTTTTGTCATTTTATCTGATGTTTTGCCATCTTGATTGTTGCTTTTGTCTTCTTAACTAAAAAACACAAAACAACCAAAATATATGAGCTAAACTACGGCTTCTCTGATTCCTTAAAAGGGATACGTAGGCATTGGGGTAGGGCCCGAACGAGCACAACTTTTATTTTCCCTACATTCTTTTCTCCTTTCTTTTGCATGCATTCCCTCTTTGCATTTTCTTTTTGCTTTTAAGCCTTAGACATAGATTTTACACACCCATTAGATTAGACAACAAGAGTGGATACCGTAGAGTACTACGGGCGTGTGGGGTGCTAATACCTTCCCCTCGCGTAACAGACTCCCTTACCCGATCTCTCAGTTGCAAGACCGTGATTTCTCCCTCTTCAGGTTTTCTCGATGTTTACCTTTCCCTCTCGGTGGGATAAAAGACGTTCGGTGGCGGCTTCATTGATTTTATTATCGGGTGATGGTCCGGCCAGTTGTTTCAGCTGGAGACTTCACTGGGGACTTAGGATGTTGACCTATTGTTGGTCCATCCTAGATTCAATCCTAGCTCTTGTTAATTGTTTTCTTTGGGTGTTTACTTATTTCCAGTTTTGTATATACTGTTTGCATATGTTTGTGCATGCATTTTACCGCTTTCCATATATTTGGTTATTTGCTGTGCTGGCTCTGCTTTCATGTTGGGTGGGTGTTACAAGAGGTAAAAGGCCCAATACCCAGGCCAAATGACAACCATAGGAACCTTAGGAATAGAGTGGAACATGAACGGCTAGTCGACTTTGGTCTGCTAGTGCGGTCATGTCGTCCACGCTCAGATGAAATTACAAATGGGGTGTTATCATCTCACATAGGTGTTTCGGTGATAGTGACTTCAGGTGTACCCATGATTCTAAGTTACCCTTGTCTTACCCTAACCTAGTATTCGCCCGTGAGTTGGGAGGGATGATTGATTCTTACAGGTACATATGGTGACTCTAGTTCTGACGATGACTTTGGTTATGTTGCTAACTTGAGTTCTGTTGGTAACCATGTTCTGATAATTACTGTGTGTTTTTGATGGTGACTTGATACTAGCGGTGACTGTTTGTTCTCTCAGTTTTTCTCCGAGCTTCTCACCTTGTAATGGCTGTTTATTTTGGCAGTTCTACATTTATCTTTTATAACAAGGAGATTTTGGTCTCATGCAGTTGCTGATCCACTTGATACTTGATTCTTTTGTGTTCCGAGATGGTGCTAGACCTTTGACCCGGTGATATTCATCATTTATTTTAGATACAGTACAACCACTTTCCATGTTTATGGAACCTTGATCCCGTGTTCTTTTACACATAATATGTTAACATCATTTTGACACACATGTTCTTTCCATTTCCAAGGAACCATGCTTGTGAGCTTTGTGTTGCACTTCTCCACCTTTTACTGGTTTAAAATCAAAATTAAAAGCACGAGGGTTCCTTGGAAATGATCGAACATGGAATTGCATCCACTCATACACATCATGCATATTCATGCATTCATAACAGATACTCAAAGTTGGGAATTCTTATTGGGATTTGGTGCTCTCTTCAGAGTTATAGACTTGAATTCTTGTTGTCACATGTTCAGATATCAGTTATGGAATGATTTCATGGGGTATTGGCCGGGATGAAGATCTAGATGTGGTTTTTTGTGGTATACATGCAAGCCTTGACCCATGATCGGGAACTCTGCAAAAAGGAAGATAGTCAGTTGAAGACTCAGTGGAGTTGGATCACAGAAGTCTTAATGATAGTGTCGGCAATCCTACACCGACTGTTGTAACATGAGTCGTTCTCTTTTCC